GCGAAAAATAATTCCGAACGTACGTACGCACATATGCACATACGCACATACGTACATACACACACACAGACGTCCACGTAAAAACTATCGTATCCTTACGAGTTACTATAAATAAAGAGAGCCTTAAGTTTCAAAATTTTAAAAATATAAAAAATCAAATTTAATCCAATTTGTCTTTTTTTATAAAAATTTATTTAAACACGATAAACTTCGCGTGGCTATTAGCTGTATATACAACGATAATTGATGTCATGGTTTATATAATTATCGTCCTTGTCATTCGTACTTAGCGTGCATTTTTGTGAAGTCTGTTAGGGAAGTTTTTGGTATGCACACAGCATTTTAGAGCTGATTTCACTATCGGTATATAAACAGTGTAATAGTATCTAGTGTGATATTATTTAATTATTAATTTGTTAAAAAAGGAAAAAATTGTGTTCTTTTACCGTTCTCGAGATATAAACAATTACTCATTGAAGAACATTAATTAGTTATCAGAAAACATAAAATGATTTTTTAAAATTTATATTTCCATGCCTCAACTTTCTATACCTTATCTACCAACTTAATACATCCATAGATCGACATCATAGTACTCATACCAACATTGAAAAAAAAACGGATGTTCAAGAGCAGAATAAATTTGTTTTCTGCCATTTCATGAACTGAGGACGTGGCCTCTTTTTATTTTTATAAATATATGATTTTTAGGACATAATGATATGCCTAATTTATTTCTGTAGCTAATTAATGGAATTTTAAAGGATTTCCATTTATTTTAAAGAATATTTTCGAATATACCCAATAATCTTTTACAATTCACTATCTTGAATATACTTTTGTAGAATTAATTGAAAATATTTACTTAATTTATTTCAGAAATCGACCCTATTTCAATATCTTCTTAGTGGATAGTTAATAAAGTTTATTGAAAGATAATAGACAACGTTTACTAGTATGTAAATAAATAGGTGAACAGCTGGTCAAATATGGTGAAAAAATTGCAAAAGATGGCGATATAGTAGTCCGAGAGCCTACTGCAAAATCTTGGGCCAATTGAGTCACCACATGAAAGATGTTTAGTTGTGAAGTACTCACTATTTTATTTTTAAAAATTAAAGAGCTACCATCCTAAATATCGCACAAAATTTAGATAAATTTTTAATTCTTTCAGTATAATACAGTAATCGCAACAAAGGAGTTACCGCTTCAAGGTAGTCTTAAAATTTACTATTTACTATGTTAAAGAAAATTATCATTTAATGCCTTGATTTATATGGGTCCATCACCCTTGGCAGGACATTCAAGTTTTGTTTTTTTGACAGAAAATGTACCGAAAGAGTTACTGCTCCAAACTGGGCTTAAATTAGAGTTTAAATATTCTTTCATGTAAAAAAATTTCTTTTATGTGATTTCAAAATGACCGGAAATCACTTTTCATAATTTACAGTTAAATCGATTAGCTATGAGCATTTTGGAATGTTGGAGCAGATATACATTAAGGTTCAAAACATTGACAAAACTTGACTAAAGAATTTCTGCATGGAGAAAAATAATCAAAGCTTTATTACTTGATTGATCAAGTGAACTTATTCCAGAAAACGTTGCTAGAATTCGAATAAAATTTTATTGCTAGTATGAAACAGTTTCTCATACTTTCTGAAAAACAGTGTATTAGAAACATTAAGTTGCGATAATTTTATTCACATAAAAATTTTGATTATTTTACTTGTTGCGTGCATTAGTTTAAGCGATCGTAGGTTCGTATCTCTCCAATAGAATATTCTATTGGAATATTTAATTTACTGTTTTTTTATAATGCACTTTAAGTGTCTTAAAATGACGTCACTCGTTTCATTAACATTGTAGTTACTTTTTAAACACATCCAAATGAACTAAAAATGACTAAAATGTTAATTAAATGAGTGACGTCATTTTAAAACTCTTCCAAAATTTGAGATTTGCAGAGTAAGTGAGTTAAAACAACACTTCTTTGACAATCGAGATATGCACTGCAGTTCTGGTTTTTTTACGTTGATCAATATTTTACTAAGAAAGAACAATATTTAATGTGTGTATTAGTTTTGTCGTATAGTGTGTAAAAAAAATGCATCCATTTTCTATTATTGATTAGGTAGTAGCAAGCTGCATGTTTGACCGATATTATTTGGATATGAACACTTTAAGTATTTTAAGATAAGATAAGAATTTTCATCGTTGCCTCGATAAAAAAAAATTGAATTATCATTAATTATTCCTACTCATTAAGAAATTATTCATCAGCGAAGAAAAATTATCTATTATTTGTTAAACTGATAATTTTGAGAGTGAAATTATCAATTACATTGAGAAAATTTATACCTCCAGAATCTGAGAAATTTTACAAACTACGCGTATGAATTATTACAAAACCATCTGGGTAAATTTTACCAAGCACGTTTAGTAAAATTTCCCCAACAAAAAAAAATCTTTAGCCTCACAAATAAATGAGAAAGATGTTCTTCCACTTATTATGAAGAAAATAGACAACACCTAGTTAAATAAATACCAGGCTCAGGATTAAAATTTCTCGACGACATATAATATGCCTACTATTCAGATAACTACACTGTAAATGTTAGTGTTTCATTTTAAGACATTTAAAGTGTTTTAATATGACGTCATCTATTTGATTAACATTGTCTCGATTTTAAAACGTTTTTAAGTTTTTTAAAATCGAGACAACAGTAATCAAGTAGATAACGTCATATTAAAACACTTTTAATGTCTTAAAATAGAACACTATAATTTACAGTGTACAAATGAACACGTGAGCGTAGTCTTGTTTATACTCGGGAAAATTTGATACAGAAATAAAACTGATCTCAACTCTCATAACTGACAATAAAAATCATTCTCCTTCTATTTAAAAGTATGCACTCTTCGGATAAATTTGAGGTCCGTGTATGTTCAATTTTACTATTTTCTTAAACGTCTTCGAGGAACGATCAAGTTTGTCAGTTTTTATGAAAAATGTAGAAGAGTTTTGAGTTGTCGTATTTTTTCATTTAATTTGTGATGGCAGTGCAAGTGACATTATTTCTGATGGCGAATAATTTTCTAGCATACATAAGATGTGTAAAAAAAAAATTTTTACACTAGAAAATTTCACCGAAAATCCGTTAAAATTTAAATAGAAATTTCGAAATAAAATTTACCACCAACTGCTTGGTAAATTTTTACCCCCACATTATAGTTAATTTTTCAATAAAAATTTTCTCAGTGTATTTTTTGAATTAATAGTTCAATACACTATGTTGATACTATTGAGTAATTGAAATTTCCATTTTGCAAATTGGTATTTATCAAATTAATTTGAAATTTCAGTAGATTATGTCGCAGAAACCCTAATGATGGGTATACATTTCACGGTGCATTTACGAGAAAAGTAGTAGAGGCGTCAAAATTTAAGATCACTAATACTTTTATAATTTCAAAAAGTAAAGAAAAGAGTTTCTTCATTAATCGTTAGTAAAAAATCTTCTTATATTTTTTCAGTCTGAAGTTAAAAAACGAAAATTTTCGAAAAATTCATTTTTCGAATTGTTATAAACTTAAAATATAATATGTAGCTACTCAAAAATCAACTAATTTTGACAAATAGTTATTCATAAATTGTTATTAAAATGACATATGAATTCGGACCTTTGACTTTTAACTGCAATAAGTTTTATTTTTAATTTTCTGTCACAAAGTAATTGTAATAGGTCCGATATTGCGAATTCAGAATTTCAACATATCTTCACGTTTTAAAGTCTCAAGAATTGAATACAACAGTTTTTAGGTGGACGTCTGTTTGTGTATGTACGTTCAAAATTCTTTTCCGTTTCGATTATCCCAAGGACGAAAAATTGCATCAACGTGAAACCAAGTGCACTCGACACAATGATGCAGCTTAAAATGGATTGAATTTTCAGCAAAATCGGTACAGCCATATTTGTCCAGTATCAAAAAGTGATAGCTGAATTTTGAAATTTAAATAAAACTTTTACTTCTGATCCCTTAATAATGATTATCATGAATATGACACTAAAAATAACAATTATAAATTTAATAAGAAGAACAAAGATTTGTTTTTTGCACTAGAATGTTAGTCGTGTGGGACCCAGACCATAAGAGAACTCTGATATTTATCATTATTTTTTAGTTCAACTTTTTAAAGTAGAAAAAAAAGTTCGAGAACCTTTCTTTATTCAAAACTTTCTTTTTGTATATTCTATAGTCTAAATGTAGAATAACGATAAAGATAAAAACCTGTCGAAAGTCAACATAAAATCATTTTTTTATTTTTATCATCAATTACAGTTATACAAATAATTAAATAATGTTCATTATTTCAAATAATAGTTACAAATAGTTACCGACTGTTAATAACGTTTAAAAAAAAGGAAAAAAAAAGTCAGATGTAATTAGAAAATATCTTATTTAATTTTTGACATTCAAGAAGTGAGAAAGGAAAAAATCTTGATCGCGGGGAAGAGAATTAATAAACCTCCACCTGTTGCTGAATGGGTTGGTGACTTAGCAGTCGTAATGCAAAGCCGCCATGTCAAAGCAAGCACCAATAGGGTTGTTGCATCAGCACTTCTGTGTGGTGGGAATCAACGAAAGCATATCATTGGTTTTCCCCCAATCTTCGTTGGCTCTTTTCCTGTCTTTCCCCGCTCTTTCGCGCCGTAAAATCACCCAGAATACAAACATTTCGCGGCTGATAGCTAAGACATCCCCATTCACACTTGTCTCTTTGCCACGACTTCATCATCATTCTCTTCAATAAGCGTCGATTTTTATTATTATCTTCATTTAATTCTATTCACCCAATTAATGAAGTCAACCGCAGAACAAATATTCATTCAAAATTATAAAAGTTATTAAGTGCAGTGTACGTAAACAAATGTTGGAAATAGTTGAAATCATGTGATGTGTGAAAATAATGTTTGTGTTGTATTAGTTTTATCAAAATGTCGACTAAAACAATCAATAACGAGCATATCAAGAGGCCAATGAATGCATTCATGGTGTGGTCTAGAGGACAACGTCGAAAGATGGCACAAGAAAATCCGAAAATGCATAATTCGGAAATATCAAAACGCTTAGGAGCTGAATGGAAACTGTTAAGTGAATCTGATAAACGACCATTTATTGATGAAGCCAAACGACTGAGGCAAGTATTTGTTTTTTTACCACTCAAGTATTCTTTACATTAATGAATTTAAATTTCTACAAAAAGAATAGTAGCTTTTGTTTTAAATAAAAGGATGAAAATGAGAATTATGGAATCCATTTTTATGGAGAGTAAGATCGTAAAAAAAAGGTGGGATGATAGAGTCGGCGTGTGCGAATGTTAAAGTTATATGTAGTGAAAACGGCGGCGTTGAAGCCACGCTGTCACTGGCTTAACGTAATCTGTCCGTTCGTTCACGGCAACTCACAATGTGGCCCTCGAGATAACAAATAAAGCTCCATTGTCGCAATTGTGTGGATTTAAAGAGATTTGCACCCGCTCCCTCGGCCTAACTGTCACCCTATACTACTCTACGCTCGATGATGCCTTCCCACCTTCTATATCATTCTCTTAGAGATATATCTCCAAAAGATAATGTTTTTCATGCTTTTAAACGTGGCTTTCATGGATTTATGTATAGTTAATTTTTAAAGATGCTTTCATGATATCTTTTAAAATTCGTTATTGATTTAATATCGTAAGCAACCATGCAGTCTAATATAAGGACTCATCTTTTTGGAATTTATTGTTAATTAAGAATTTCTAGGCTTCCAATTTGAAGAAATGGAACATGTATCGCAGTTTAAAGTGTAGAGATCAATTCCTTATTAAGTAATGGTAAATGTTTCTTAATTAATTTCTGAACGTTTTAATTCAAAAAAACATGATAGTCAGATTAGAATAAAATTGATACAACTACAAAAACTTGATAACAGATGACAGAAAAAAGTTGGTATGTAAATGATGCATTTACATTGATTATTCTCTTCAAGACACTGTAAATCCCAGTTTTCCAAAATGCTTCATTTTAATGCGGATAAGTGTATTAAATATGACGTCACTCGTTTAATTAACATTGTAGTCACTTTGTACACACTTAGATCTGCGTTAAAAGTGACTACAATGTTAATTAAACGGGTGACGTCATATTTAATACACTTATCCGCATTAAAATAAAGCATTTTGGAAAACTGGGATTTACAGTGGACCCATTTTTAAAGTTAACTAAGATAGATATAAAAAAAAATAGGGAACAAAGATTAAAGTTCTTTTAGTTTCCATATAAAAAAGATTCTTAAGCTCAAGACTTCATCCACTATAGTTTAGCTGCAAAATGATGTTCAAGTTAAGAAGCAAATTTTAATAATTTATGCATTTTCATCTTTATTTTGTTTTTGAAAGTGTTTGAACTGTGCCCTCCATCTTTTATAGTCTAACTGCAAAATAATTGAACATTTTGAAATTATTGTTGACATTTTTCTTTACTCTAGTTTTACTGCTAAACTAACTAAGATAAAGAATAGAGTATTAGAACTTATTATTGTGCAAAATTTATCGATCTTCCATTTTTATTCACATTCATTTCCCAACTATTTTTATTCGTATCTCTTATTAGTCATGAGAAAATCTTGAAAAACTGAAATTCAATTCTCAATACAAAGTGAGACAGTAAAAATAAAATCGATGCACAGGCACAATTAAAAGCTTAAAAATCTGTTGTTTTCCAATTATCCTTTATTTCTCTTAATTAATAATCGATAAATAAACAATTTGATGAAGTTTTTTCTCCTATTACAGAACTCTACACATGAAGGAACATCCAGACTACAAATATCGTCCTCGCAGAAAACCAAAATCGTTAATGAAAAAAGAGAATAAATTCGGCTTCACCTTGTCTCCATTGATACAGACAAGTGACACTTTAAATGGAATCTCGCGGAGTCTATTGCCACCATTATCTACACCATCAGCTCATCCTTCACTTCTCAATCATGAGGATCTAAAAATCCCCAGATTTTTCCCTTCATTTCCGTATTCTCTCTACCCAATTCAACCTAAAATTTCGGAAACGATGGAAAACGGCAACAAACTAGCAGCTGATTTGACATTTCAAGCTATTTATCATAGTGGCACTATTTACGCGAGTCATCATGCTGCCACATGGCCGAATTTGCCATCGTCACCAACATGTCTCCAAGCCAACTGTCATTGTTCTCCAGGATCACCAAGGAATCCAACACCAAAAGATAAACTCTCAAGTGGATTTATGCTGAATTTTGACAGTAAAATCAACTCTGATGACACCAATTATCCATCAAGTCCAGTGCCAAAATGTGAAATGGATGAAATTAACTCTGAAAGTAGTGCCAATGAAAAATTGATGGACGAAAACACAACTACTGAAAATAAAATGACATTTTCAACACTGAATGCAGGAAACAAAAGTGAGAAACAGCCGAAAAGTGGAATTTCCTTATCAGCTGATTTCGATCATGAGAAGTCCTTGTATCTTACGTCGGATAATTTGAGCAACGATAAACGATTGTCGGCAATGGAAAATTCGGAGAACGAAAAATTGTATTCATCATCTAGCATGGGGAATTCATTTTCAGTCAAGAGTTTAACGTCAAATCTGTCGACGAGAAATCATGTTATTTGAAGACCACTTCCGGTTCTCCCTGATTTGAATTTTCGGGGGAACCTCGTGTCAAATTGGACACCTGATTGGTGGCGAGTTGATCCTCTGTTGACGCCAATAAATCGGGGAATCGTGCAGACAACGGCTTTGTCCAATTTCACGACGACTTCAACAGGTATTTTTCACAGTCATGGAGACGATAATCGATGAAGAGTAGTGTGCTTAATGTTAACATTATAATCTGTATAGATGTTCTGGTTACTCAAGTTGTGGACGATATTTTTTGGTATGCCAGAATTCTCAATGATAAATTTGTGTAGGTGATAAAAAAATAGTGCTGATAAAAAATAGTTTTTCGATCCTGAGGGAGTGAAAGTAATTAAGAGAATACTCAAAACCCTGTTAGTGATTTTTTTGTACACTAGAAGGATACAGAAAAAATAATTGAAAACAAAATCAAAAGTCATTAAATATTGATTGATATCTCTTGTAGTTTAGCTTAAAAATGGTAATAAATCTAGCGAAGTGATTTTTTTAAGATTTTTGACATTTTTATTATGTATATCGTTATTTTGCAGGCAAACTATTAGAAACATAATAGTGCAAAATGACAATAAAAATGCAAAATTCATTTTTTGTCGATTCTTATTCTCTCTTCATCTACATCATCATTTTGTGAATAAACGCATCTTCTTACATTTCTTGTCATTTTATAGCTAACTAACGAGAGATTTCAAATAAAATCTCATGACCTTTCCTGTTCAAAATTAAAGCACCTTTTACTTGGATTTCAATCATTTTTTCCACATCTACTTTAATTTATCGATAAACTACAAAAAACTAAGGTATTTTCAATAATTTCAGCTCTAATCCAGAATTAAGGAATCATTTCCACCACTACTCATTAATCCTACCGAACCCAGAAACATTTTCTTCAATTTTTAGTTGTTTTTATGAATCTCTTTCATAACTTTAGTAACTGGACTAAAATATTTTAGTTAATTTTCCTGTTCTATTTTTTTTTTATAAAATAAAGAAAATTATCTTCTATAGAGATAAGAAGACTAATAGTTGATAAATAGACGAAATGAAATGTTTTTCAAATAATTAGCAATCTTTTAATGCAAATTGGAATATTTTTATTAGTTTCATGTTATTTGTTAATGAATTTTTTATTGTTCAATTGTCATTTTGTTATGATAAAACTAAGAATAAAGAATGAGGCTGTTGTAAGCTTAAGCGACGGTGCTGATTAAAATATATTTCATGATACCACTAGGATTAATTATTAGGATAATAAATTGTAATTGTAATTATTATAAAAAAGTTATTAAATTTACAGGAATTATCATATCATTATTAATAAATGATGAAATCACACAATGAATTTATCATTAATATTTCCACAATTCACTATAATGTGTAAATATAAAACCCACGTGTGATATTTCGTGACATTTTAACTGCTCTCTCTCTCTTTACAAATTCATGTGTTCATCTTGTCGAACTGATATGTTTATCTCAGTTCACCCTAGTTCCGGTTTCAAACTTATTGAATAAAATGACTTTTGAAATCCTTCCAAGTTTTACCACAATTTATTGAATCACTCCGTTTAAGGCACACTAATTTAGTGTTTACTTGAATTCAATGGTGATAATTGAGTCTAATAGATGATAATTGTGTTGTGGAAAAAAATCGATGTATCGCAAAGTCGATTATTTTTATATTGATAACAGTAATGAATCAATAATCGATTAGAAAAGTTGGTAATTATTTCGAATTGGGACTCCAGACAAAAATCACTCAACAACATTTTTCACTACCTAGAAACTATTTTGTTAGGTGAAATTAGATATTTAAAGGTGGGGTAGACACTTTTTTAAAAAGGATGAAAGATGAGATGGGGGAGGGTGTTGAAAGAGCATAAATATTCTTTAATAATTACAAAATTATTTATGCTCTTCTAACACTCCCCCCGTGAATGTAATAAACATTCTCCCCCGTCTCCCGTTGCCATGTTTTGTACGATCCACGATTTTAGTGAAATTCATTAACTTATCATATGTAATTTATGACACGTAATGCATGAAGTAATAGAAACAATATGTCTTCCCGGCCTCAAATTTACTATTTGTATCCTTAGGAATGACCCGAAATGCATAAAAAATCTTTTGGAACAATTTCTGTCTGGAGTTCTAATTCTAAATAATAATCAAATTAAATAATCAATTGTTCGATTAATCGATTTATGAAAGTATCGATTGTTTACTTTCGGTACATTTGTGATATTGTAATTTGATAATCATATATACTCATCTATTTAAATAGAATTTAATTTAATTAGACTATAGTACTATCAAAATAGGATTGAATACTCGTCACCAATCGACCGGGTTTGGTCATGGAATTGTGACACCAGAAATTAATCAACTGTAACTAATCAATACTTTCACGTATCAACTAATTGATGTCGAATTTTAAGTTTTATTTATTAATAATATAATATCTGTTATTAACAATTCAAATTTAAGTGATTTTAAATAAATTAATAGATATTGATAAACAGCAATCGATAGTGTAACGATCGACTGTTGAATAAAAAACAAAATTTCGATCGTCAAATTCTTATTTTTAACTATTCGAGTGCAAGTGCATGAACAATCGTTGGTTTTAAAATTAATACACCGCATCATCAATTATATAATAATCCACTGTGGAAAAATGGATTTTTTTACACAATTCAATCCGTTACGATCAATTCAATGCACTTAGATAAATCGATTCTTGTTGATATCGATTTTTATCTTACAAGACTAAATTGATGATGATACAAAAGCATTGAGATTATGAAATATCATACGTGACTATAAAAAATGATGTAATAAATGTTAATTATAAATTTTTTCACAGATCAATATTTTATGTACGTGAATTGTAATAAGTTATACGCCTGTAAGAATAAGTTGTGGAAGAATCCTAGTCATACGTATGTAGTAGAGATTAATTGATAAAAATATAAAACACAAAATTGAGTGAAAATTATCCAACATTATTATTAATAATAAAAAAAGGAATCCCATTTTTTTCAAGTTTTTTCCTTTATTATTTGTACAACATCTTGAAACTCAAAGACCCCGTGAGTGTTTCTGATAAGCAGAGAGGCGGTGGCACACCGCACAAGGACATTATCGCTCTAGCAAAAAGACCCTTTCTTCCCCTATAGAGGCAATCACGCCTTCGTCGCACTAAGATAACAGTATAGGATGGAAAATTGGACAAAAAACGATAAAAAGAGAAAGAAAAGACTGAATGAATGAAAGGAAGTTAACTTCTCTTTCTCATTCTTGTTCAGTCGTTCTTTTTTTTTTGCTTTCTTATCTATGTCAACCCAAGAACACTATTATATTTAAATATTATTACCTGTTATAATAAATTTTTTTTTTGAAAAGCACTAACGTATTCATTTTCTAAATGTTTATAGTTTCAGTTTTAAATGATACGTGTTCTAGTGTTCTGTCTATAGTTTTGTTTGTTTATTTATAGTTGTATTGTCATTTTGTATTATAATTATAAGATATATTAAATATTAAAAAAACCTAAAAGAACCAAAATTTTTTTGTAATTGACGAGAAGAAATGAAGAAGCAAGCTTTTGGATGATTTTCAAAAATTTCCATCTATAGTATTTTACCAAACTGTGGGAGATACGAAAAAAATGCTTGAAAAAAAAAACGAAAAATTTTTTGATTTTCCACGAAAAAGGTTTCTCTATTTCCTATGCCCAATACTTTAGATATTAAATGACGGTGAAAAAGAAACAAATGTCAAAAAATATCGAAAAACCACTTGTCTTTATTTTTATTTTTCGACAAAACTACAAGGGATTGAGGATAAGTCAAAGTACATTTTTTATTTAAAATGAAGAGACTGATAATTTTTGCCCTACATATTTTCTGATATGTCTTATCGTTAGCTAGAAAATGAGTCGATAAACATCGAAAAATTGTCGATGAGTACACTGAGAGAGAAAAATACTATAACCAAGGAAAAATTACTTGGTTAAAGTAAATACCTGTTTTGTATTCTGCCAAGCAAATTTTCGCTTGATAATAAGAAAATACATACTTAACAATTACAATTACACACTTGATTTTTTTTTTATTTCTATCCTTTTTTGTAAATAGCTCTACTTGGAAAGCTTGACAATGTTTATCAAATTGTTTAGTACAGTTACAACTATTTATAACTTTTTAATGTTTGATGTTATTTTACACTTAAATTATCCAAGTCGGAAATGAAATTAGTGTAATCTTTTTTATGCAAAATCTTAGTTGTTACAACTTTTATTTTAAACTTTTCCCCTTATCTCTTATAGTTTTCGTGAAAATCACGAATAAGGAAGTTTCGCGGTAGCTCTTCCCATATTTTACACTTGGTGATTTCAAGTAAGTTTAATAGTTTCAGAGTCTTTCAATCGCGGAAACATCTAATAATCTTAAAACATTTTCACTAACTTTTATAAACATAGCCAAAGTTCATTCTCATTCAACCGGTTTTTGAACTAAAAGAAACTGAGACAAAACTTTCATCATTTTTTTCTTCATATCAAGGGTTAAAAATAACATACGTCGATTTCTCGTTCCTAAATAACGTCCATAACGTGAATGGTCATCTGAAAAACTATTTTAGTGATAAGATAGCTACGAAAAAAATATCAAAATTTACGTCTTGCATAAATTATCCTTATATATGAGCTCCAAACGGAAATATGTTGATCATATCAAAAAAATTCAAACCTTTGATATTTTTTCACTCTTTCTTATTGATATTCGTTCTCTCAAGTTTCATGAAAAGTCAATACGTTACTAATTAAAAGTTGTTTTAAATATTAATCAATTTGACTTGTGAATTTCATTTTTAGGGACATCAGATTACAGTAAGTTCTATGAAAATGCATGTATTTAATTGAATATTTTAAAAACAACGCATCAAAAATTGAAACATTCTGGACACAATTTTTA